AATCAAGCTCCGACACAGTGCTTCTGAAACAGTGTGTTGTTTTTTTTAATACATGCGCCGAAGCTTCAGCTTCAAACTGCCCATCACTACCGTTTTGTTTCTTTTTTTCTTTAATTTAAGTAATTTATTATTTCGCGTTTTGTTGGTTTGCAACAGCTTTCCTGTATCGGGTTTGACTGGCTTGCTTTTTTAGCGCTTTCTTTCTTTCCGTCGTTAACTTTCATGCCGCTCTCCCCTCACGCGGCGCTGTTTTGACAGTCGGATTGCTGTGGTCCAACTCTCAAGCTAGCAGCGGTAAGTCATTTTGAAGGCTAGCAAACTTAAATCCCGTGTTTGAGACCCGACAGCCCAGGGACTAGTTTATAACATGATTCACACCGCCATAACCATAGGACCTTTGCTGACTAGCAAGTAGTAATACAAAGTTGAGGTTTTATTCACGCTAGACCGGTAGCGTGCATTGGAAAGAAAAGGCTAGCTAGCAGGGCTAACATTAGCTAGTTGGCTAATTATACTATTTGTAGGAAGAAGGCTAACATATCGTGAGCTAGCTATTGTTAGCGTGTAGGTAAGCTATTATTTTCAGTCAACTGTTCAGCCACGACTGACCATACTGCCATCTGTTCTCTACAGTGAAAACTTGAACGATTCTCAACACCGACTCAAAACACACGACCACCGAAACGGTAAGCTGAACCGCGAGGACGACTTGAGATCATTTTTTAATCAATGATCCTCTATGATTAGTCTGATATGTAACATGAAGCACCATCTTTAAAGTCCGCCTTCTCAATGGCAACGACAGAAACGAGATAGCCATGTTGGTATCCTTGGTGGTCAAGTTATGGGGAAAACAAGTTGCATTTTTATAATGGGTCACAATATAGTTTTTGGAAACGTTTACAGTCAGATTTGTGTTCACAGAATTTTGGATACTATGAAATAAGATGCAGATATTACACCAAATAAATAAGAAGTAATGTTTTGTTGATTGTCCAAATGAGTGAGCAAATTTAGCAATTAATATAGTGCTATTAATACTATAAAACAGGCCAATCAACATAAAAACCTATCCATATAATATTTAGTTTTTTATATTGTGCAATTTAACGCTTTTATTTTATTTTATTTTTTATTTTTTTTACACATTAACCCAGTGGTTCCCAAACTTTTTATCTTCTGACCCACAAAATATTCATGGCAAAAACTTGTGACCCCAAATATTACTGGTCTGAGTACACAAATTTTGTTAATAGCCCTAAAAACAAAGGTTACACAAGTATAAATATTTATTTATACTTATTTTGTGTTTTTGTAATAATTAAAGGGAAAATATTACATCACCAATTATTTTATTACCCTTTTAAATTGATTTCTGAAGTGCAGTGGTTCCCAAACTTTTCAGCTTTTGACCCACAAAATAACAGTAGCAGAGACCTGTGCCCACAACTATTTTTGGGTGATAAACATTTGTATCAAGTCAACAAAACATGGCCATAGTAACAATATTTATTATTCTACATTTATACATTTTAGGCAACTAAGGCAAAAGTGTAATTAATTTAGAAAATATTTTCAGGACCCCACCTTGATGTTTCAGGACCCCACTTTGGGTCCCGACACCAACTTTGGGAACCGCTGCATTAACCTTATTAAACAAAAATAGCCAGCCTAGACTGAGGCAGGTGATCTATTTTTTTGAGTACAATTGCACTTTCATAGTAAATAATGCTGAAAATAAATAACTAAATAAATCCTTGGACCGTTAAGACTTGTGGGCAAACTGGTCTCTTGAAAATTATTCAGTACAAATTAGATTTCATTGTTCTAATTGGAGAAGTAGCATTATGAATGGCTGTTGTATTGGGGAAGAAATGTTTGAAGAACACATTAGTTAGGTGGAGGTTCAGCAGAACTTATGTTTTATTAGTCTTGTCTAACCAGAAAAGTACTCATCTACTGTAGGAGTGACGTGCCAGTGGTGGGGCGGGAATACTGGCACACCCTTTCTTTTCATCAATACACTATTTACATTGCTAGCTTTTGTTCAGGTGCATTTTTCTTTAAATTCTTGTTTTAAACTTTCATTCAAATAAATAAATAAATCCCAGTTGAACCCATGCGGTTCACTTAGAATTCTATTGTAATGGGCAGGGCAATAAACCTTAAGTTGAATTTTGCCACAGATGGTGAAGAGCTTTCCTAAACTAATTTATTTGTAAACATAATTTTAGACATGTCACTCAGGGAGTATAAGCTGATCATTCATACAGTATTGTTCTAGCAGCTTGCCAGTTAGAGAGACGTTAAGACTACTTTTTGAAGTTGAAATGTTGCTGCATTTGGTGCAGCAGCTCATTGTTAAAGGCATGAAGCCATTATAATTGTTTTTTTATGTTGTCAAAATCAGTTGGTGAAAATATGGCTTGTCACACAAATATTTGCCTGCCTTGTTTTATGAGTAAGGGTCTGATGCTCTTATCACAACCCGCCTTACTGTCTGAATCCTGTGCACAAGTGAAGTTCTGTTGACTAATTTTTAAACTTTAGATTTTTGTAAATACTTCAACTTGTCTGTTGGAAAAAAGTTGTTTTTGACTCGTCTAATATTTACCTTGATGCATGTCACACATTTTGAGATGTGACCGTTTTGTGAATCCTTGCAGTGTATGATGCAATCCTTTCACAAAATAATGCATCATGAACACCTACTGTTGTGCTCATGACACTCTGAATTTTGCTCTGTTGCAGGTCAGACTAAGTATCATCGATTAGGAGACCTTCTAGATAGACTTCTGGATTATTTTTGTTAAAATATATTTAGTAAACAAGACTCACAGGTTTGTTACAGCACGAGTGGCTGAGACTTTGAGATCACAGCACAGATTATCAAAGCTGTGAATCAAACATCTCAGCTGTAAAAATGGTTAAGATGAACACATTTTGTGTTGCTATGTGAATTTATGTAGCATCTAGTCAGCTTAATAAATAGGGAAAGCTGTGTGATAATAAAAAATATGGACAGCATGAATGTCAAGTTGAACCATTAGTGTGAACACATGAACTTGCGGTTAATTTATTTTACCTTCGATATTGTTATTCAGAATGCTGCATCTGACCATCTCAACATTTTCAGAAAAATATTAAGCCAGCTTTTTATTGTAGCTTATCTATTTTGACATTTTTGTCCCAATTTTCTGGACGTTGATCGATAATGCTTAAAATGGCACATAAAAATTCAGGTTCCAACTTCTTACATTGCAAGGAGAGCACAGAGAGCATCGATGTTTAAAATGGCTTTTGGCAACTGCTGGTGATGTCAAGACACGTGTTCAGTGGAAAAAAACAATAGATGGCAGAATCTGTGGAGATGAACGTTTGCTCAGGATTGTAGTCTTCTAAAAACATTTTAAAATATCAGAACAAAATCAAAGCTCTACACTAGAGACGTTTAAGGTGATGTAATAACTTGGCTCTCTGATGTTTCTCTGGCTCTTGTGAAAAACTAACAAATCAGTTAAAAGCAGGTTGTAAGGTTGATACTGCTCCTGCACCAGCCCAGAACCAGTGTTTCTTGTTCTTGTAGAAAATGTGCCACTATTACAACATCATGTTACATCTTCTAAATTTGGACATTTTGCATCAACATATTTTTTTTTCTAAGGTGGTGATGTTACGGAAAGATCATTGAGAAAAGGATAATCTATAGTAATATCTGGTAGATGTGAGTCACTGAATCTACAGTCTGCTGTTGCTAAGGCCACCAGTGAGAGATGGAATATCCTGCTTCTCTTTCAACATATTTCCTCTCTATACCCTGCAGATTGTGGACAAAGTTTAAAACATGTTCACAGATTTAGGTGTGAAAATGTGAAATGTTATATTGATAGGAGCTTTTATTGCAGAGTTTACACCTGATTTAGAGCTGAGCAAAAAATCTGTTTGTAAAAAGTGCTTCCTTTGGTTTGCAAGATGCATTACTGTATTTTTTTAAACTCAGTTTTACAGTATGTAGTTTTTTATCAGGAATCTATATGGCAGGAGTGTCGCTTTGTGAGAGTATTTTCAGGCCTCGTTTAATATATTTATACATTAACAATATGGAACCCTTATTTAGTAAGATGTAATCAGTCTTTGTCACCCAGGTATCCGTCTCTGCCTTCGTTTCTGAATCTGTGTTTGCAGCAGCATAAGAAGAAGAGTGGCTTTTTCTAGAGAGATTTGAAGAGCTATTTATAGATCCCAGCCAAAGCACCAAGCGTGGTGCTGTTGCTGCTTCTTTCCTCTTCTCTTTACTGCTCCTGATTCTGTTCATCTCCCCTCTCCGTCTTTATTTGTTCATCTTTCTTTCATGTTATGTTTCCTGAGCTCATTTACTCCTAATATATTTACGTTTTCATGCTATTTTTTTCCCCTCGTTTCATGTTTCTCATACCCATACTTAGTTTCTTTCTTTTATATAAATTTTTGATCAAAGCAGAGAGAAGTGACTGGTTGCCTTAAGTTTGGCCTCAGATGTATTATCTCACTTGAGTATCAGTGATATGATTGGATGGTTGTCTCATAAGGAAAATGGGACACATCAATCTGTTGAAATTTGGTGTGTAATTTCTATAATGTTTAATAACATTTAAAAACCTTATTACCTTTTTATTTGGATTTGAATTGCAGCAGATTTTACTCAAGAACAAAGTGCTAGGAGCTGATTTTGTTATGTTTTTAGTAAAAACAAAATTTTATGTGAATAAATATATATTTAATAACTATGTAATAACTGTTCAGTGTCTATTCACTCTCTCAGCTGTATACTGCATGTTGAAAGATATATTACTATGTGATTCTACAGATTATCTCTGGTATCTGTTGCCACAGAGCCACATGAGCCTTTGCCTCTGTCTCCTACTTTCTAAGCTTCATTGTAACATTGTGAATTAAGCTACCTAACTATTCAAGAGCAGAAACAGCTGACATTTTGAGGCATTAATTGGCATTAGTTCATTGCCGTCTTTTTTATCCCTGGCATGTGGCCAACCCAAGATAAATCTTTTTCCAGGGCCATGTTAAGATAGCAAAGTCTTTTATTGGTTTGATGTCTAAACTTCGTGAAGGTTAACATTTTCTACACTACACCAATCATTTTGTCACCCTGCTTATAGTTTTATATCACAACAACTAGCTTGGCTCCTGTGCTGAGCCCAAGTGAAATTCTGTAAAACAAACATTTGATGAAATTTCACATTATGCAATTATTACTATCACTTTTTAAGGAGAACACTGTCTTATTTATTTTAAAAAGCCAAACTGAAGGTTTTTTTAAATATTATCTAATCATCAAACTGATTTTGATGAAACTTAAGAAATAATAATATTTTTAGCAAAATGCTTTTCATGTTATCACAGCAGCTGCTGTATTACATCAGTAGTATGGCAGCCATACTACGGCTTCTGATGTAAAACAGTAGGTCAGCAGCAAAGATCAGAGTGTGGTTGCTTCTTCAAATCAATGAAAAATGTCTTTGTACTTCAATCCCATATTTGCAATTGTATCTGCACGCTACTGACAAACATTTCCTGCACAACCACTCTAAGTAACAAAACAATAAGAAACAAAAACACTTTAAAATATTATTTTGACTTGTGAAACGTCATAAAAGTACCGTTCACTTTAACACAAAGTGGCAACTTG